TATGCCAGGTTGAGCCATGAAGTTTCATCCCCATTCGAGTTGCCAGGACAGCAGCATTCCAATACCTGACGTTTCAGAGGCAAAACCTAAGGCCATAGGACGGCTCCTTGTGATGTCAGAGATGCTGTTTCTTGTGACATTACAGAGGTGGGCGGGGTTGAGAGGAGGCCTAGAAATGGTTCCAGGCCACCTGGATGTGGAAGCAGGATCAAAACACCCCACCTGGTATCTTGCTACAAACAGTGTGATGTACTCAGGGGTGTGTGCCCACACATTTTCTCCCCACTCACTTCCTCCTCACACCTGGTTTTTTGACTCACCAGGGTTGAGCAAGGAAAAGATACCAACACTTTCACACTGAGCCGGTGAGTCCTGACAGCAGCTGAGAATCTGTAAAGATGAGTGCTTAGGCTGTAAACCCCGTCTGACATAAAAACAAACTTTTCCTGCTGGACTGAGATTTGTCTCCTTGCCTGATGACCAGTTCCCTGAGACTTCAGGCAGCATCCTGAGGCCTGGCAACCCTCCATCCATGCCAAAATGTACACACACACACCCTGCTGTTTCGCCACTCCTCCAGGAACAAAAAAAGACAGAACAGTCGTCCCACCCTGGCCCCACTGTCTTCTCCCACCATGACTGATCAATAGCTGTTTTTTCCACAGCATTGAAAATGAAAATTTTCTTCAAGCCTTCAGTGGTGGTAAATTTATTTTGGAGATGACCCCTTCGTTCTCATTGCATTTGCTCCTCAGTCAACGTCCGTGTGCATTTCCAGTATCATCTTGAAAGAATTCATCAGCTTTGTACAAAGGTGGAAGGATGAACAGGGAACTGATAGCCTTTATCAGTCAGCAGGTGTCCACGGAAAGATTTACTGCATGTATCTCAGGGGAACTGACAGGTTGTTATTTCTATGAGAAAATCATTTGTCACATGCCAAATATTAAACTACAACATGTCAAACATGACAGTGATATGGAGCATGCTTTTGAAAGATAGACATGCGTAAAAACAAGATCGCGGAGAACCAAATCATTTATCTTCTCATGATCCAGCTTCTTTCAGTACCCAGGAATTACAAACCAGAGAAGGGAATGGAAAGACTCTGAATCCAAGAGGACTTGAAACCTATAAGAAAAAGCTAGGATAGTGCCCAAGAACAGTGTCCAAGGGTATGAAGAGTAAACCAGCCTGAAGGTGGTACAATGGATAAGGAGCCAAAACAAAAGACAGAGGAGGTTAAAAGTTCTGGCAGGATCAAAGCAAAGCGAACTTGAAGACAAAGCAAAGCAAACTTGAGTAGCATATAATGAAAGCTTATTTCTAGTGTATTAGCCAGCTTTTTCTGCTTCCTTTTCCAGAGGCTGCTAGGAAGGTGAAGCCTGATCCTCTTGAAAGAAACTCAAGGGGATGAGGTCAGCATTCAATGGTGGCTTATGCCAATTGGGACTGTGGGGCAGAAAGTGGAGCCAAGGGCACTAGCGGGTATTTGCACAGACCAAAGGCTGGCTGTCTCCAAAGTTCTGGGGGTGGCATTCACCCATCCTTGAATCTTGGAGGACTGCACCTACTCCTGCAACACTCATGACCCCAAATTCATCTTACAAAAAAGCATGTGCAGAACTACACATCTTCAGTGCAGTGCTGACAATGGGAAAAAAAATTAAAATGGTTAAAGCTTTTGTAATACTGTACCTTCATTCAATCATCAATCCAAATGGAGACTGCAGCCAAAAAATCAGAAGAAGACTGGGACTCGGAAGGGCAGTAGTGAAGGAATTAGCAAAGATAATCAAATGTAGGATGTGTCACTGGAGAGCAAGACCATCCACACTCTTGTATTTCCTATTACTATGTAAAGGCTTGGACATTGATCAAAGCTTTCTGGGGGGAAATTGACTCATTTGAAATGCGGTGCAGCAGAAGAGCTTTGTGGATATCCTGGATTTCCAAAATTATGAACAAGTGGGTTCTAGAGCAAATCAAGCCTGAACTTTCTCTGGAGACAAAAATGACAAAACTGAGGCTGTCATACTTTAAGTAGATCATGAGAAGGCAAGACAATGCCTTCACTAGACAGACAATTATGCTGTAAAAGCTGAAAGCAGCAGGAAAAGAGGAAGACTAAATATGAGATAGGTTGACTCCATAAAGGAAGCCACAGCCTTGATTTTACAAGAGTTCAGAAAGTCGGTCAAGGACAGGACATTTTAGAGCAGTGATCCTCGACGTTTTTTGTACTGCGGACCGGTGGAGCCTCTGAGGGAGGTGGGGCGACCCCCTCGCGCTTGCGCTCTCTGACGCACGTGCAAAGTGGTTGGGGAAGTGGTTCCCCCACCGCTTCGCACATGCGCAGGAGCGCCTGCCCACCCGCGCACCCACCCCACCCCTGCGTGTGGGCACATGCTTGAAGGGGTGAGGGAGTGTTTACATGGGGGAAGGGGTGGGGCTATTTTCCAATCGCGAGGTAGGTGAAGACCACCAGGGGCGAGGAGCCCCTCCTTAGGGTTGGGGGGCAGAGATAAGAAGGGAACAGCTTGCTGGGGTTCGGTAAGGCTTGCTGGCCTCTCCCTTCCCCACCCTAGAACAGGAGCCTTTGCTCGTCTGCCCTACTCACCGCTTTACCTTGCCGAGGCACAGCGAGAAAAGGAAGAGCAGCTGCACCGATGGCTCTCTTTCTCCTGCCCGCCCCCAGTTCACCTCGTTGCCCTCCTCTGCAGTGTTGTGCCTCCGGGAAGTAAGGTGGGAGGGGGAATATTCTGGTTCGTTTGGGAGGCTTTGCTGTCTCGCCACTTTGGGTTCCAACTTGGCTGGAATTCTCCAGCTCGTCAGGAAGCCCTGTTGCTGATCGACTTCAGAAAAAAAGTACGGTGGCGGCGTGGGCTATGGAAGGGAAGGCTTGTGCCGAGCCACAAAGGCAGACCTCCCAACCACCCCCACAAGCACTTCCCTCCCCGCAGCTGCTTTGCACGCGGGGCGCTTAAATGCAGGGGCGAGGGAGCGTTCATGCTGGCAAGCACGCATGCAAAGCAGCTCTGGGGAGGGGAGTTTGTGCAGGGGGAGGTCTGTCTTGCCCACTCCCACCCACCCCTCCGCTGAGGAAAGCAGCCAGAAGAGCACCCGGACATGCCCTTGCCTCCTGGGCTCTTGGCTATCCTCCCCCGCCGCCGCCTCCAAGTGCGTGCAGGGGAGGGGGGACGGCGGGAGGTCTGTCTCCGCGGCCCGGTCAGGGTCAAGCCATGGACCGGCAATGGGCTGCGGACCGGGGGTTGACGACCTCTGTTTTAGAGGACAATCATTCATAGGGTTTCCATAGGTCAGCAACAATCTGACAGCATGTAACAACAACAAGGGATC